CATGGTCTCTCTTCCTCCAAGAGGCCCCCTGTGATTGCAGGTGGGAGAATAGCTCAACCCCGCCCTCTATTGCGTCACTTAGTTGGCAGTGTCCATCTGTGGCTGGTGTTATGACCTTCCAAGAGTATGTCCTGCTTCTTGAACCACCAGTATGCTCATCAAGGGCTGTGGCCAAACCCTGACATTGTGGCCACCCAACATACCGAAGGGTAACAGGGTATGTATGCCAACCCGAAATATGCCAAATTCTTTTAAACTGATTATTTTTGAGAAACAAGAGATAGCTTTGAAAACAGAGTCTACAGGAGATCTGCATTTATTAAGGAAATTTCCATTAGAAAGTGTACATGTACCAGGAAGAGAGCTCTATTGGCGGCCACTTCTTTTCTCGCCTGAGAGACTTATCTGCAGGGTCAGGCAGCCCTTGCTTCCCAGAAATTTCCTCCTCTTCCCTTCCCACCTAGAAGCCCCAGAGGTACCCCTCTCCTGAGCTCACGATGGCATGTAAATCCAACATCTGGCCACCTTTTCAGTCTGAAATCTTTGTGTAACTCCCATGCCTTCCCACATACATAATTCCATTTATTTCTTTTCTCCTGTTAGTCTTATGTTAACTCAGTTCTTAGAGCAGCCGCAGAACCTGGAAAGCTGTAAGGGAAAATTTTCCTCCCCTACAGCTCACAACCCAGACCCTCAAGTTCATCCCTGTGGAAGGGTCTCAAGGACCCCAGTTAAGCTTTAGGCGGCTGCCTAGAAATCACTCCGGAAAACCAGCCCTGGGTTAGTTGGACGTGTTCTTATTTATGCCTTCAGAATCCTCCGAAACAAAGAGGGCCCTCCACAGCCTCCCGAAGACTCCCCCTCACCTCCGGGGCAGCCCACGGTCCAGTGGCTAAAAGACGGCCCGCCCCGGGTTCAGCTGACAGCTCGCCACGAGGCCCTTGCCCTCTGAACAACGCTGTCGAACTCTGCATCACATGTGAACGTCTGAGGTCTGCTTAGGCAATGGCTTAATTCCAGGTCTCTGGGGAAAGGGCACGATTTCTGCGGCAGGAGTCTGAAGAGATGGTGAGGCGTTCCGGCCCCCGGCCCCCGCCCCCGTCTGCAGGCCCCCCAGGAGGTGGCGGCCTGCGCTACTTCACTGCGGCTCCTCAGGGAAGGCCCTCCTGGCCTGGCCTGCAGGGCCTCCAGGGCCCCCTAGGCCTCCCACATCCCTGGTCTCTCACCAGCAGATGCCCTCCCCCAGGACTTTCCCACTGAGACGCTCAGTCCCCTGGGTCCGAGGAGGAGGGCACAGTGCGAAAAGACGAGGGGCGTGGGAAGGCGTGGGCGAGAAGAGGTGACACGGGGAACACAGGGATCTGGCCAGTTTTCATTAACTCACTTAGATGCAAACATTTGTAGGTGGCCTTTGTTTGAAAATGACCCAGCCGATCCCTCAGGGCACAGAGACCCAGGACGCCTTCTTCATCAAGAGAGCGGTGCGTTCCTCTCCCTCCTGGCAGTCCCGTGTAAATGGTCTGGGGCTGGTGTGGCGGCTCCACGGATTTGGGGACGAAGGTTCCAGGAAGGTTCGTTTCGGTGTCCTTGGTCCAGCCAGCGGGAAGGGGGGACAGGAAGGGAAGTTGCTCACCGCTCCGACCCATTGAGAGGACTTGTGTCACGTGACCACGCTCAGCCCCCCCCCCCCCAAGGGAATCTGGGAAATGTAGTCCTTTTTTTCCGGGTAGCCAGGTGCGCAGCCAAAGAGGGGTCAAGAAATGGGAATAAGAAGGGTCTTCGTACCTATGTGAGCTCACTTTCCCGAAGCTCAGGCGCCTTCAAAGCCCTTTCCACGTGCACTGCCCTGACCAGGAGCCTCCAGGCCAGGGACCCTGGAGGATACAGTTTGTGTCCATGGATGTGAGCCGAATGCTGTAACCGTGAGCCTCTCTGCAGGAACAGGGCAGGTGCAGTGGGCCCACCCCAGGAAGATGGCAGGAAGGAGGCGGCCACAGAAGGGTGGGGGCCACATGGCGCTCTCACCCCCAGGCCCACCCTTCTCCTCCTCTATGCCTGGTGATGCTCTGAGTCAGCCTCTGGGGAGGGTGTTTCGGGGAGATAATCACTAACATGCAGATGTGAGTTCGGAGTTTGCGAGGGCAGTGGGGCCAAGTGGAAGGTGTTCAGTGGGGAGAAACGGGGCCATCCTGGGGGTTTTGCCAGTGTCATCACAACCAGGGACTGGCAGCCAGTCAGAGGCACCCTGGCAAAGCAGGTGGCCCAGATGGGGAAAGAGAGGCAGGATCTCTGCCTTCACTGAGCCTAAAGCCACAGAAGCCACCCAAGACTAGGTCAGGGCAGACCACAGCCAGACCCAGAGCAGGGACTGTGACCCGCATGTGCCCACAGCAGCAGACACCTCTCAGGGTGCCCTGGGAGCTGCCCTCACATAAGCCCCTTGAGCCAGATCCTCATCATCCCAGAGAGAGGTGCCCCTGCACTCATTTGCTGTCGATGCTTTAGTGGACTCAGTGTGCAGGAAGTTACCTCCAGTCTCCACCTCAGGGACAGTCCCTTAGGGCTTAAAACACCCTTGTCAGGAATTGGCTCTCCAGAAGGCATCACGTTAGCATTTTAAATATGTAGTTATTAAAATCTACACCACAGAGTTTGTTCATTAGCCCAAGGATGTTAGAAATCATTTTTCTTACAAGTGTGAAGTGATCAGATAAGTGTTTGACTAGGAAGATTCCCAGGAACTCAGCATCTCTGCACCCACAGGGGAGAGCAGCCTGAGGCCCCCACGGCTGTGCTCTGGGGCTGGGCACCTGGGGTCCTGGTCTCCACTCCTAGGAAAGGCAGGTACAGATGTATGATTGCCTTTGTACCTGCCTGCTGGCAAATATTTGGACATTTGGCAGAATCGGACCTGCTTTTGATGTAATGTTTCATCTGGTGGCGAGGTAGTTGGTGAGGGGCTGTGGAGTGCCACCTACCTCTAATTGGGGATCCACTTTTTTGCCAGAAAACCCTATCATTGAGAACACATGCCCAATGTCAGGTGGTAGAGCCTGCCTGGGAAGCAGGTCTGATTCTGGAGCCTGTGCCCTGAGTCACTGTCCCACCCACCTTCGCTCCCATGTGTCTGGAGTTCTACCATCTCCACTCCACACCCTGCTAGTGTGAAGACGCTGCTGGGTGCCCATCATGGCCCTGGCTTCTGCCACTAACTGGAAGCTATGTTGGGCTCTCCAGCTTTGTCTCAAAAGGGACAGATTTGTCTCAAAAGGGGTGTGGGCCTGATCATTCTTTTCACAAAACCAACTGTGAAACAGCCTGTTTGTGCTGTCTGTGGCTCAGTCTGATGCTGGCTACTTGATCTCACTCACCAACCTACACGTTCATGTGCCTTTCCAGAGCTTTTGGCCAAGGGCAATAATGTATTGCTAACCAGCAGTTTTGCTCTTGATGCAACATCAGCTTTTATCATTCTACAAGTTAACATTTCCTCAGTAGGCTCCAGAAAGCAAGGACCCTCACCTCCTCTGCTACCCACTCTCTCCACACACCAGCACAGGGCACGGCTTGAGTACTGAGCGAACATTTGGCTACTTGAATAGACGAGGCAGAGGAAGCCCAAAATCCCAGGCAGAGGGGCTCTGTGGCAGCGCGTGATGCCTGTCTGAGAGCTCCCACCGGAGCTGGTCATCCACCCCTCCACGTCCTCAGGGCCTGGCCCATCAGAATCGCACAAAAGTCCTGTCCAGGTGAGGGATTAGCCTGAATCCCGGGCAAATGAGGGCAAGACTCCCCTTTAGGACCCAACTGGACATCCTGCAGTGTGACCAGGTCACCAAGCCTTCTCAGAATGTGGTCCCCACGCCAGCAGTAGCATGGCCTGGGAACTTGTTAGAAATGCAGATTCATAGGTCCCAGCTCAAACCTAACCAATCAAAAACACTGAGGCCAGGCTGGCAATCTGGGGTGAACAAATTTTCCCAGCTTTAAGAACAATTAAGCTAGGCCAACTGTTTTCAAAATTGTAAACGCTTTAGAGACAGACACCCAGCAGATGAGACAGTCAGGAGTGGAGAGCTGGCGGGGGCACGCTCGGAGCACGGCTCACCTGCTGAGCTCTAGGCCTCCCAGAAACTCTCCGTGAAAGGTTCTGTATTAATCACTAGGCCCGAGGTTCTCACTTGGCCCATTCTTTCTCTTGGGTCAACTGGGCAGACAGCACCCAAAGCAAGAGGAAGGGTGTCACAGGAGGAGGAAGCAGCTACAAATGAAACCGAAGAACAGAAACAGACAAAGCAACAGGTCCACACAAGGGAGGCAAGGACAAGTCAGGAAGCGTGTTTAATTGGTGTGACATGATGACATACACAGGAGCAGGAGAGGAGGCCTGGGCATGCTGCGTGGCCCTGTCCCCCTCCGTCTCCAGGTGGTCCCACCTGCACCACCAGGGCAAGGGCCTGCCCCTTCCCCAGAGATACACACCAAGCAGGTTCAGACAGGACAGCACCTCCAGGAAGGGCTGAGAGGGTTGGAAGCAAACAGAAAGAAAACAACCACAGCTGGGAAACACTGCCTTTCACTAGTTTGTTTTTGAGTTTTTCGTTTTTTGTGTTTTTGTTGGTAAGAGTTGCCCAAATTCCAAAGTCGCAGGTTCTGGGTGGGGGCACCACAACCACTCAGACCACTGCACCCACCTTCCACCTCTGCAGCACATTGATGATTCCGCTAATATCTGCCCCTGGGAGGCAGGCTGAGCAGACGCTTGCACCCATTTGACAGATGGAGAAACTGAGTATCTATAGCAGACATGACTTGCCCAGAGTCCCAGAGAAAGCTGATCAGTGGGTCAGACTGAGAGCCTGGGGCCACAGGACACTACAAAGGCATAGAGAAAATGGGAAAAGTACAAATGGGGGGCGGGGGGATTCTGAACTCACCCCAGTTCTAGGGAGTAGACAGAGCCTGAGCCTAGATGCCAAGACAGAAGATGGGACCAGCTGTTTATTCAACAAAAGCCTTTTATTCATTCAAAAGTCAACCATCGGGTTTATTTGCAGATATTAAAAAAGAGGAGGGGCAAGGCTTCCCATCACAGTGCCTTTATGCTATTTAACTTGCTAAGGGAGAGACCTAGAAGAGGGGCATCTGGGAGACACGCTGCCAATAAGGTGGGGCTGGAGGCCGAGGGCCTGGGTGAGATCAGAACCCTTGCCTCCCCACCCCAAACTGCCCAGTGCAATTACGTTTGGCCTGCTGGGGCCCACGAATGCCTTTGCAGCTCACCACCACCAGGGGGCGCCCCCACGTTCCCTTGGGCCCCCTCAGAAGTTGAAGCTGTGCTGGGAACTGGGTAGCTTGCTTTCTGCAGGGAGGGGGTGCCTCTCCCGGGGAACAGGCACCCCAAAGTCCCCCACCCCCAGAGAAGAGACAATGTCCGCAAAAGCCCAGGTGCGCCTGTTGCCTAGGAAGTTGGCTGTCAAACTGAAAAGCATTTCAGGGGAAGAGGACGCGTCCGCTAGCCCTGGTGCCACTCTGCTGTTACCTGGTTAAATACTGCAAACTCGTTACATCCTCCCAAGTGCTATCAACACACAGTGGGGAGCAGACGCTGTGAGGAAAAGGCCAGGGCCACTATGGAGGGGCTGTCCGCGGCTGGACCCTGCTCCTGGGCCCAGGGAGCAAGGAGCGGGGCTCAGCAGGGGGACCAAGAGCCTGGCTTTGGGTTGGTCTGGAATCTGCAGGGAGCAGCACGTTACCCGGCTGCGCCTCCGGTGGAAACAGCCCTGGGGAGAGAGGCCCAAGGGGGTGGCGCCTGGAGGCCTGGAGAGAAGAGGGAACAAAACTGTCCCTGCCAGGGAGCCGTGGGCAAAATGGCCAGGGTCCAACACCCTGCCGGGAAGAAGGTGGCCCTCCCAGCAGCTCTGGGCTGACTTGGGGCATGGACCCAAGGGTGCCTCAGGCCTGAGTCCACTGTCTGCTAAAGCCAAAGGCCACACCTGTGGCTCCAAACCAAAAGGCCAAAGGGCAGGAAGATGGAAGGAAGGCCTGGCACGCAAATGCCCCATAACCACCTGGGAATCAGTGCCTCCACTGGAGGGGTCCACGTGCTTAACCCTGGAGAGATCTCAACTACAGGTCCCTTTCCCATGATGCCTCCAGAACGGGCTGCTTAGCAGCGCCTCCCACTGGATCAGAGAGGCAAAGCGAGGCTCAGGCAGTGGCCAGAGAAGCAATTTGACCTGGAGAGAGGCCCCGCCCTCATCCTTCCGACCCAGGCCACCAAGTTCACCTCCTATCCTAGGGTCCTAGGTCAGAGCCTGAGGAACTGCAGGATTTGGCGGAGTCCTGGGCCTCTTCGGCCAGTGGCCTGAGCAGGAAGGTGACCGCAGGTGGCTCAAAGAACCGAGCCTTCAGTCGTCTGTGAAAGCAGAAGTTCTGCCTGGCCCCCACAGGATCTGGGGGGCTTGCAGTACAGGCAGAGTGAAGCCAAGGGGTCTGCTAATGCAAGAAGGGAGAGTCGGGGGATGGCTGAGCATTTCAGCCGACAGCAACGGACACGCAAGCCCAGAGTGGCACAGCCACTCTCCGGAGTGGAGGGTCTGTTGGCTGAGGGGTACTTAGCAGGAGAAACTCTGGCCTCCTGGGTGAGTGCAGAGTGGAGACCAAGGGCAATTCGAAGCAGGAACTGAGGGTCAGCTTCTCCCCTCTAAGGCCGGGATAGGCAGGGAGCTGAGAGATGGCCGACTCTGCAAAGCAGCAGAGGCTGCTGCCCCCCCGCCAGGAACCTTCCCCGGCTGAGGACAAGCGCTGGGCCATCAAGCTAGCTCAGGAGTCCAGGAGGGGCGAGGAAGCACTGCAGGCAGGGGCTAGGAATGCCATCTGACCCCACACATCACGAACAGCGGCTGCTATGTCCCTGAAGACTTGTGCCAAGAGACAAAACAGTGACTCAGACAGTCCCCGTGTCTGCTGGGGTCTGGCAAACTTAACCACAGACCGCAGAATGACGCAGTACAGGAAACCCAGGCCTAGAATCACACAGCATCAGCGTGGAAGAGGGGCTCCCCTTCTGGCTCATAGTTGGGGCCCAGGGAGGACAGGGCGCTGCCCACAATCACAGCCAAGGCCAGCCTCGGACTCCTGGACTCTGGCCCAAGGGCATCTGACTTCCCTGGTAGCAGTTCTGGAGCTGCCCTGTGTTGGTGGCAGACAGCACTAGAAGCTTCCTGTGAGCACATGTGGGCCACAGACAGGAGGAGCAGCCACTACTGAGTGGGAATGCCTACAGCCCTTCCCTTCTCCCTCCCAGCCAGCACTGGAGGTAAGCCAGGAAGGGGAGAAGGGTGCTCTGTGGACGGGACAAGGCAGAGAGGCAGGCCGGCCAGCAGGTGGGAGAGAAATGAGAAACTAGTTCCTAAACCACCAAGGAGGAGGAAGGAGCCTATAGGTCTGCTCACCTGCTTGCAAAGACACCCCTGCTTCACTCTTTCCTACGTATCCACTGGCCCCTTCCCACTCCCAGGCTCAGAATAAGCCTCTCCATTCTCCGTGCTTCCGCAAACACCAAAGTAAGAGCTGAGAAACCAAAGGAGGTCCCCTGTTAGTCCTCAGAAAAGATGTTCTGGACCCAGGGGAGGACACAGGATGGGGAGCGTGGACAGGGCGGAGAGAAAAGAGGTTCAAGAAGGAGGCATTTGGGCTGGAGGGAACAGTGCATTAGCCATTTAAGAAACCCACCTTTCCCCTCTCCAAACATCCAGCACAGTATCTGGAAAAAAAAAAGTTTTTTGGCTTCTTGGCCGCTGCAGGCCACCATCCTCCCAAGCGCATGTGGGCAGGTGGGCGAGGGTGTGCACATGTAAACGGAGGCCTCACATCCCTGGGAGCTTCGGACACGTGAGGCAGCAGCAACAGTTAAGAACCAATAAATAAAAGATATCAATTATATATGTATAAAAAAAAATCCTCACTTTCCCCACAAAAAGCACAATACTGTTATCACAAAACAAATCGTCATAATTAATCATCCTAGCCACGCAGGTGGTCTTGCTGCTCAAGGATGGGACAACAAATAACGTTCATCAGGCCCCCCGACACCCCGAGCCCACCCGTGGCTGAGGGCCTGCCTGCCCGTGGCCCCCCTGGCTGCCGGAAGCAGAGGCAGCAGGCAGAGTGCTCCGAGGTCCCAAGGCCTTCTCCCCATCTGTCAGTCTGTGTCTTTGCACAGAAGGTAGTTTTTTTTTTTTCTTTTTCAATGTCTGTTTGAAATAAAAAACAAAAGCACACGCGCAGGAGAGCAGAAGGGACGGAGGGGCTGCCTGCGAAGCAGCCGCGTCCTTGGTTTCGCAGAGGGCTTTTCCATTCAGTGTTGCTGTTTTCTGGACAAGCGGAGGTTGTTGGCAAGTGGAGCCAGTGGCTTCAGGCAGCGGGCGGGCGCAGGGCTAAGGGCAGGAGAGCCGGGCCTCGCGGCTCCAGGGCAGCCCGGCTGGGCGTGGATGCAGGGAGAGGCTGGGTGGACACAAGAGGGTGGTGTCGGGGCTGAGGTGGCCTCATGGCAGGGGAGGAGGTGAGTGGTTCCCGGGCATCTGGAAGACATGAGAAGGTGAGGCAGGTTCAGAGCTGGTGGCCAGGGACACATGCACACAGAGCCGGCAGGAGGGTCAACCGGACAGCAAGGTGACACTGTACGTCAGAAGGCCTAAAACTACACACCCCCTGGCCCACTCATTCGGTGCTTAGTATTTATTCTTACAAAACAAAGCATTTCCTACAGTATCATCTGTAATAACAAAACAAAGAGGGAGCAAGCTCAGTATCCACCATCGGGGACTCTGGATAGATGCAGCCATAACAGTTCACAACCATTAGAACAATGCACGGAATGGCCAATGAGCACACAGGAAGATGCTGGCCAGAACGAGTCGTCAGGGAGGCGTAAACCAAAACCACGATGAGACACCACTTCGCTCGCACTAGGATGGCTATCATCAAACCACCCAGAAAATCAAAGTGTCGGCCAAGGGTGTAGAGAAATGAGAACCATCATCCGTTGCCGGCAGAATGTAAAAACAGTGTGGCGGTTCCTCAGAGAGTCTAACACGGGATTACCGGGTGAACCAGCAACTCCACCCCGAGGCATACCAGCCAGAGGAACTGAAAACAGACACTCAGACAAATACGTGCTTGTAGCAGCGTTATTCAAAAGGTGGGAACAACCCAGGCGTCCATCAATGGATGAAGGATGAACAAAGTGTGGAAGGTGGCTACCATGGAATACTAGTCAGCCCTAAAAAGGGAGTGAAGCACTTGGCACAGGCCACAACGTAGATGAACCGTGAAATCATTCTGCTAAGTGAAAGGAACCAGGCGCAAAGGCCACGTATTGTCATCCCATTGGTAAGAAACATCCAGAATAGGAAAATTCATAGAGACCCAAAGGAGATGGTGGTTGCCAGGGGCTTGGGGGTTGGGATGGAGAAAAACTACTTAATGGATATGGAGGTTTATTTTGGAGGGATGCAAAAGTTTTAGTACTAGAGAGAGAGGTGATTGCACAATATTGTGAATACACAAATGCCCTGAATTGTTCACTTTAAAATGACAAATTTCATGTTATGTGAATCTCACCCTGACAGATTTTTTTAAAAAGCAGCATGAGGGACAATCATGTGTGTTACTGGCTGCACCATCCACAGACCCTTCCTGTAACCTCTGTTTACATTACATGTCCCTGTCCCCCCATGTCCCCCGACCGGACAGGTGTAAGCATATCATCCTACGGGAAAAGGGAGCTGTTTCCCTGATTTGTGTGAAATGACCTGAAAACATTATCTGGGCCAATCCGAAGATATGTGGTAGTGGCCCTGGGGGGTAGGAGGGCCCCAAAGACCTGGAGATGGGGTGGCCATCGTGGTGCAGATGCAAAGGGAAGAGAGAATGGGAGCAGTCGTCCAGAGAGAGCCCACAGCACCCCACAGGACAGGCCTATGCCCTCTCAGCTGTCCATCCCTGTGCCAACCCCTGGAGACACTTGGCTGAGTGCCCAATCACATTCCTTGCCGCCACGATCCGTGAACCCTGGTGATGTGCAGTATTGTATCTGCTGGTTACAATAAAGGCATAACCATGAAGGAACTCATCAAAGGCATTTAAATCCATAAATTCACGATTACATATTTTTAAAAAATTTCATTGGTCACCTCCAAGGGATGTTAGAAACTCATTTCGAAACCGGTAAAAAGAATCAGGGATCCACCCTGACTTTCTTTAAAAACAAAGCCTCAGAGAAGTAACCAGTTGATGAGAGTAAGTTTCCATTTGCGGAAGAAGTACAGCCAGCGATGAAGAAGGAAAGGCAGCTTCAGCAGGTCACCATTTTGCACAACTAATGAATGAATGTGAACGAATGAAGTGGGGATCATCAGTGGCCGCTGACATCACCAGGTGTCATGTGCCCCCTGGTCAACGCACAACCCACACGTGACGTATTCCTGCCACAAGTGGATCAGACTGACTGTCAAGCAAGCCTGTAGTTCTAACTACCTGTTTTCAGGAGGAACATGGGGCCAAAGGGCAGGTTCACACCCGCGTGGGGCACAGTCAGCAAACCCCAGAAGCGTGAGACACCACAGAACGTGTTTCTCAACAAATCAGCAAGAGAGGAAGGGAACGGAAAACTTATAGATTAACATAAACTTAAGAGATCCATAAACCAACTGCAGTGTGTGGAGTTTATTCAGATTCTGATTCTAAAAAACAAAAAATTGTGGGAAAAAAATGTGTGATAACAGGAAATTGCAATGCCAACAGCAGATTGGAGGGGATTTAAGGATTGTTGATGTTTTGGTATTAGAGATTCTTCAAAGAATCATTATCTTTGAGAAATACATCTTGAAATATTTATGTATGAAATGATCTGATACCCTGAATTTGCTTCAAAACAACCCAGTGTGGTGGGGGAGGATGTAGATGGTACAAGATTGGCCATGGATTGGTGATTCTGAAGTTGGGTTGTTAGTACAAGAATTTACACCATTCTCTTTATAATTGCCTATGAATAATAAAAGTTGTCCTTTTTAGTCCACCCCCAAATTTCCAACAACCTGTGTCCACACCACAGGAAGGGTTAAATTATGGCCCAGCTATTTAAAATAATGGTCTGAGGAAATACTTACAATGTAGAAAATATGCATGATCTCAGGTCCTGAATAATTCAGTGGATTATATAACATCCATTTATGAAAGAACAATGATAACCAGAGAAGATAAATAAATCCCAAAAAATGATGGAACATAAATTAGATTAAAATCCTACCAGGCAGGCTCTAGGACGAGCCTGACAAAAGCAGGAGGCAATCTGAGGAATGAGCTACATAAAGGGGAGATCTCATCACTCTGAAGAGTCTGTCATGGAAATAAAGTCACACCTACTTGGCCAACTTGTGGCTGGTGAGGATACGATCCATGTCTATGTAGGTTGCATTAAAAAGCCACTGTGGACCCAACAGGATACAAACTTTCTGCCAGGTTGGAAAAAACACACTAAAAAATCTCTTTTCTTAGTATTGAGTGTCCAGGAAAAAAAAATTAATGTTTCCTATAAATTGTTCATTTAAAAAAAAAAATCAGTCAACAACATATGTGCATGAACTCATTGTTGCTGAGGAAATACATCCCCATATATATTCACAGAAAACTGCGAGACAAAAACAAACAGGGTGATTCGAAAATAATCACATACTCTAAGGAAATTAATTATACCATATGACTTCTTAGTGCGGAGAGGGTATGTCAAGAACCATGTTTGTACCACATTTTCCACAGCCCAGAGGAAACAATGCAGAATGTTGTATGACAGCTGCCATTGAAGCGGCAGGTGATAATGCACAAAAAGGGACTCTAGAAAATGAGATAATGGATCAGTCTGTACCGTGGGGCCCGGAGCTGCACATGGAGTGTTTCCAAGATTATAGAAATAACTGATAGCGTCTTTTCAAGTTGGTTTGATTATGTTTTTATGTGACCTAGTTACTGAATATTAAAGTCTTTGTTGCATGTTCAATTCTTTTTGAATCACTCTGGGCAATAAATGTTCACTGTGGTTACATCTGGGTTATATATGAAGGGCTTTTTTTACAAAACAAACTTTTTTATTGACATTCTTTTTAAACATATTTTCTCACGTTTATTGCTTGTGTGAAATAATAATAGCAATAGAAACTTCCAAACAGTACAGGCTCCCTGAACGGAATATCACCAAATCAAATGTGATACGTAAAAAGGTGACCACATCGTGGCCAAGTGGAGTTTTTTTAAGAATGCCAAGAGTGGTTTAGCACATTCAAAAATCTGTCGGTGTGATTCATCATATTAACTCCAAAAAAAAGGGAGAAAAGTCGTAGGAGCATCATGATAGATGCAGAAAAATTTTTTGATAAAATTCAACACCATTCATGATTTTTTTAAAAATCAAATAACCCCTGGAAAACTAGAAAGGGAACTTCCTAAATCTGATAAAAATCTATCTACAAAAGACCTATAATGAACACCCTCACTGAAGGTAAATCATTGAAAGCCTGCGCCCCAAGACCGAGAATGAGACCAGAACGCCCACCCTCACTGCCCCTACGCGGCACTGCGCGGCTGAGGCCGACCAGGACAAGAAAGCGGGAGAAGGAAACAGACGGCAGAAGGATGGCAGAGGAAGAAATAACATTTTGATAGTCCAAAAGAATCTAAGGCAGACTCAGAGATTTAATAAGTGAAGTTAGCAGGATCATATCCATGATCAATAAACAAAAATCAACTTAATTTCCATAAGCCAGAAGAAAGTGAAAAATGCTATTTTAAAATCACTATTCATAACACCACCAAAACCATCAGCTAACTAGGGATAAATCTATCAAACAGTATGAATGACCTTTTAGCTGAAAACAACAAAATCTTACAGAGAAAAAATTTAAAAGGCCTGAATAACTAGAAAGGTACACCATTTTCATGGATTGGAACATTCAACAGCAAGCCTGACAGGATAAAACGAGAACCCGCATTTGAGCTACCGATCAAGAGAGCCAGGAGCTTAGACCTGCAACTGGCTGCTCAGAGAAGGGACGAGAAACTTCTTCTCTCCCAGGCCCCTGGTCCTGTGAGAACTGTCATTTTCAAAGCTTTTTTTCCAACACAGGGCAACTTCTATTCAAGCAACCTGTCCGGCTGAACCTGGGTCTATAAAAATGACCAAACTGGAGGGGCTCTAGCTGATCTGAAGGCTCTGCTCCCCCATGACTAGCTAAGTACCAACAAGCAGACCCAGGAAAGCCCACACTTTCTGCCAACCACAGGCATCCTGTGACTGGGTCTTCTCTGCCGCACTCACCCTGGCTCTGGGCCCGGGACTATACCAGCCCGTCATAGAGGGACAGCGCCTGCACGATGGAAGGGTCTGCCTTGGACCCCTCCTGGAACTCCTGCAGTGTCAGCTTCCCGTCGGCGTTCTGCAAGCAGAGACAGGCAGCTGAAGGTAGGGGGACAGCCAGCCTCCAAGGACAGGGGCCTCTGGACTGGACCCTGGACACCCCTCCCACAAGCCCAGCTCAGGACTGGTCCCCAAAGCTTCCAAGTTAGGTCAGGAGGGAGGCAATGCAGCTCACTGGGTAAGGGGGTCGGGCAACAGACAGACCTGGGCACTTCTGGCTGGGTGACCTTGGGCATGCCACCCACCTCTCTGGGTCTGTTTCCTCACCTCGGGAGGGGAGGTAATTGCATGGCTTCCTCAGGGCACTGGGGTGGCATTCTGTGAGCCTAAGATGTGCAAAGTGGTTGGAAACCTGGAAGCACCCCATACTCCATGGTTATCATTATCACTGCTGTTAATTCCCATAAATGGTGGTAAATCCCAAAGGGCTGAGAGCCAATGCATTTTTCTGGGGTCATTCCTAGAAGGGCGTTTAAACCATTCCTAGAGCGGCCTATGCTGGCCCCCAGGAGACCTGGGAAGGGACTTCAGTGGGTCTCTTGGGGGAGAAGATAATTTGGGCCAGAATCCCTTCTTCTGGAGCATGTCAAGGAAACCTGTGAGAGCAAAATAAAAAGGCGTGGAGACCACCCACCCCACTGCCATGCCCAGGAGGGAAAGTGACAGGTGAGGGTTTCAGTGAGCACAGCAGGGCAGCTCGCAAGGGCAGCTCACAGCACGACTCTGAACACACCGGGTGAGCGCACTTGACCTCCTGGCTCCCCACAGCTGCAAAGTGGACACGTGCTGCTCTGGCCCCCATTTACCAGTAAGAAAACTGGGGCTCAGTCACCTGCCCAGGGTCCATAGCTGGAAAGTGGGGAAGCCAGAGTTCACACCCAGTCTGACTCCAGGGTGGGCTTTGTTTCCCCAAATAAGGGAAGTATGAATCAGCGGGATTTAAGGAGCGTGCGGCCTTGGCGTTAAAGAACACTGAGCCTCTTGGGAGAGGAAGCATTCCTTGCCCCACACTGTGCGCCATCTTCTCGTTATTGTCAAGAGACCAGCCTAGGCCCACCTGACATGGCCCTCTGATGCGGACTCATCTCCCTCTTTTAATTAAGGAAGTAGAGGCCTCAGGCTCAAAGCTTTCAGGACAAGCCCCTGTGCGGCCAGGAGGTCATGACACGCCCAACGTCACTGCCTGTGTTCTCTTATTCAGGGCAAGGAATACTGGTTTTCCCCACCACCATGATATCAAATTTCCAATTAAAACAAGGTTGTTTCTGTTTAAAAAAAAGAAGTTTGATATAAACAAGGGCTTCTTAACCTAGGGTTTGTAGCTAGAATTCAGCAATTCTGTGAATGTAGGTAGGAAAAAGAGGGTCTATCTTTTCACTAACTTCGAACTGAAATGTAACTTTTCCTTCCATCAAGAATGTAGGTGACGATCCTCAACAGACCCAGCAGACCTTCTGACTTTTGTCAACTGTGGGGTCATAGCTGCCATGGCATTAGTCACATGCATGTCACCACTCAGAAGCCACAGGGTGGGCAGGCCCACCCTTACATCTCAACAATGTGTTCACGAAAGAGAACTTGCATAATTGTACATCACAAATTCTTCTTTAAAAATATTTCGATAGCTGTATCTTAAAATAATTAGCTTTCTTTTTGATCCTATAGATTGTATTTGATTCACTTGAAACCATTATTCTGAGAAGTCCATAGACATCTCCAGAACGCCGAAGGGGTCCACGGCAAAAAATAAACTGGTTAAGCATCTTAGTTGACAAAAGACAACTTACTAACACCTCTGGATGTTTGCTAGGGATGGCCACTGACTGGCGCCACCAGGCCGTGTGGTGGCATCTATGGGAGGGCGAAGCTCCACCCCCAACACCTCACCTCTCAGGCCAAGGACCAGCTCTGCCCTGGTCTCACCTTGTCCATCATGGCGAAGATCCGGTCCACCCTCTTCTCGGGGGTGTTCTCCTCCTCGGGGAGCTCCACAGTGTTCCCCTGCCAGCGACAGAAGAGGTGGTGGGTGGGCTCCTGGCCCTCCGCAAAGATCTGGGCTGGTTCCCAGTGAGGATACCCCTCCCTGCCACTCCCCACTCTGCCTGTCACCTCCACCACTCTGTTCTGGAACATCCTACCTACCCCCCTGGAACCCCCAACCCCTGCCTGCTTCCCAAGGTGCACAGTGACCCTCACCTGGCCAACTCTAAATCCAGGTAGGAGAGCGGCCACATGAGGTGGTGCCTCCAGACCGGGCCTGGGCTCTAGCATTGATGCCCTCCTGAAAACCCCTCCCCACAGGACCCAGGCCTCTCACCACCATCTGGTAAATGGCATCCACAATGTCCAGCATCTCGTTCCTGGTGATGTAGCCATCATTATCCAAGTCGTAGAGCTTGAAGGCCCCTGCAATCAACCGGCCAGGGCGGAGTTACCCCTGGCCCAGGGCAGGGGAGCCTCAGCCGCTCCCTTCTGTCCTCTGCACTTCAGTACGTGGTGGGACCTCCGGCCTCGTGATTTGCCCAGTCAGTGGGTATTTACAGTGGGCATATGGAGACTCACACACGCACACACACACACACAACACAGACATATGCACCATTTCAGCAGGGCTTTAAAATAAAAAAAAAAACTAAAAATCAAAAGGGGAGGGCATTGGGTCTGTAAGAGCTGGGACCTTGGAGGTTGGGACTGAAGAGGGGAGAACTGTGGCCCAGGAGGGGGCATGGTGCCACCCCTGTCCCCCTCCCGGGCAGTCTCCACCTCCTCTCCACCCACACCCCATCCACAGCTACCCGGCACCCTGCTATGGTCAGCTTAGAAAATACAATTATACACCCCAGGGTGGGGGTAGTAGCTTTTGCATGAATAAAAGCTTCCTTTATTCCTAAAAAAAATTTTTTTAAAGAAAAAGAAGCTGCAGGGTTTTGTTGCCGAGGTAGTGTGAGTGTCTCAGTGGCAGTGGGCTCGGAGTCCCTTTCGAGCACCCTGTTCCAGAGGCGCCTGCACCTTCTCCCCGCTCCGTGGTTCTCTCATCCCTGCCTCCGCAGGGCCTCGCACATGCTGTTCCCCTGCCTGGAGCCTCCTCCCTCAGCCAACTCTCTCCCTGCCCAGCTCCCAACTCAAACAGAGCTGGTTACTCTCCATCAACCCTCCAATCCCTCTTTCTGCCTTGGTTACAGTTCTACAGGAATTTTTTTAGATGATACCCCCATGCTAGACAGACAGTCATGAGAGCAGGTGCTGGTCTAACTGCCCTGCGATTCCCGGCCTCCGGCCCTTGACACACACAAGGCCGTGTTCTGTCAATATCTGCCGGGTGAACAAGTGACTGAGAGAATGAATGAGATAGGGCAGCAGAAGAGCAGCCACGCAAGTGGCGGAGCCAGCCCCGTGACCGGGTCTTCCAGCTCCATGCTGCACTGTCCCTGGTCCCAGGCCTGTGCCCGCTTCAGTGCACCTCTGCTCCCGCCCCGTGTGTCCGCCCCACCTAAGTAAGCCACGGTCCTCCTGCACGGCCCCCCCTGCCCAGGGAAGGTCCCGTGGCCTGGAGAGGCAGGGCGTCTGTGCCGCTCTCCCAGCCCTCGGCAAACGGCGGCCTGGCTGTCTGCCCTCCCCAGCCCGGGGCCAGGTGACAGAGCCCAGGGTCAAGACTTACAGCGCAGCTTCTCGTCCAGCGTCCCCCTCGAGGTCACGGACAGCGCCTGGATGAACTCAGAGAACTCAATCCGGCCGTCCTGACAGGAGAGGGGGCAGAGTGACCCACCTGGCCGGCCCGGATCTTGGGCAGGCAGTGATGGGCAGCTGCAGGCACCAGACACCGTGGCCAAGGGACACCCAAGTGGGGGGGTGGAGCAAAGGGCCGAGGGATGAGAAGGAATGGGGGCAGGAAGAGAGGAGGGGTGGAAATGGGACAGTTGGGTGGGAGGGGCCGAGGCTGAAGGGGGAGCCCAGCTCCACGTGCCATGGGAGAGTGAGCTGGAGGGACGCCAGCATGCCCACAGACCTCTGGGCAAGCGCCCCTCAGGGGCCCCTTTCCCCTTGGCCCGAACCTGCTGGAGAAGGCAGGGCTCCACACTGTGTCACCCCACCTATTTGGTTTTTTGCAAATAAGGAAACTGAGGGCCAGAGAAGGAAGGCAGGGCTCTCCCCAGGGCCAGGCGGTGTCACAGGCCAGCGGCACACGGGGGGAAAGCCGGGGCCTGAAAGCACGAAACAACCCGAGTGCCCAACAGCAAGGTGTGTGCAAACAAGGAACACTCAGTCCGCTGGGAGGATGAGGGAGCCGGGGAGGATGCCACGTGGGACAGAGTCCAGAGGACTGTGGCACCCCATCAGTGGATATACCAGTTGGCCATCCCCAAGAGGGGACACACGCTACAACAGATAAATATGATGCTGAGTGAAAAAAGCCAAGCACAGAAGATCCATACTGCATGAGACTCAGAGCCTCAGTTTCCTCATCTGCAAATCGGGGGAGTCAAAGAACATCCCCACAGGGAGTTGGCTATAAAGCCTCCTAAAAGTAATCCATGTAAAGGACCTAACACATAGTAAATGTTCAGTAAATTCAGTTAGGATTACAAATCCTGTTACTGTCCCTGGAGGCATTTGCATTTTGTGCTTATCAAGTAAAAATCAAAACATACATATGTGTGCACATGTAGTATACAGGCAAGTATGTGCACATGGTGTGTGGATATACATATCTCTGTGGTGCATGTGTGTGCACTGTGAGTCTGTGCACTGTGTACATGTGCATGTCTGTGTACACTGAGAGTAATGTGTTTACATGTGTGTATGCATGCATTTGTGTGAGCCTATGTATACATGTGTGGGTATGTGTGCATGTGTGCATATGCATTTGTGTCCATGTGTGTGCATGTGAGTGTGCACATGCCTGTGCATTTCTTCTCAGAAGGGAACAGCAGCAGGAGAGAGTGAGTGTGGAGAGGCTGCGGGTGCCTGCAGGAGCTGAGCGGGCTGCCGCTGGGGGGAGGGGACTCCAGGCCGGCACAGGCCCATCGTCAATCCCCAGCTCACCTTGTTTTCATCAAAGACGTTAAAAACAAATGTGGCGAACTTGGTGGGGTCTCCAAAGGGGAAGAACTGCTTATAGATCTTCTGGAAGCCCGCTGCATCCAGCTGCCCGCTGGGGCAGTCCTTGATGAAACCTTTGTACCTGGAGGTAGCCGGCCAGGTGAGAGGGGGTAAAAGAGAAGCAAACATCACCTCCTGCCCTGAGCCCCACAAGGTATGAGTTCCTGTTCAGGGAGACTGCCACACAGGGGTCGTGGGCAAAGACCTGATGCTATAGGCATGGGCTCATTCCACCTCTGCCTCTTGCCAGCTGTGTGGTCGGGGACAGGTGTCTGCACCTCTCTGAGCCTCATCTGTACAAGGGGGCTAAGAGCTGCCATGAGAATTAACCAAAATACTATGCATAGAGCACTTGGTCACTCAGCCCCGTGGGCCACACAGGGCGGCTAAACAAAACACACATGAACAACTACCCCACAGCCATGCTCTTGTGCTGGGCACTCCTGCCTTCCACACCTTCCCCACTGAGCCCCTCCTGGCACCACCTAGCCAGGCAATCTGGTGGTGCTAGCGGTGCTGGTGGGCAGAGCCACCATATGGGGCCGGCAGCTTGCTCCTCCCACGCACCTGCACCCCCAATATGCATACACTCCCTCCCCCAGCCTGTTCCCCGGGAACTATGTAAACAGACACAAAGCCAGGCAGCAAGCTTGGAAGGCACCCTAGTTTGTTGCAGCTGGATTTGTCCACCCTGTATTCCAGCACAGGACCCTCCAGACACCCAGCCAGCTGATGGCAACATGGCTTTGAGGTCCAAATCCCAGCTCAGCCATTTGCTGGCTGTGCAACCTCAGGCAAGTGTCTTCACCTCTCTGAGCCTCGGTCTCCCCATCTAGGGACAGTTATCACACCCATCTTGTTGGGACTGGGTGAGATGATGTTGTAACATACTTGGACGAGGGCTGGACATAAAAAATAGTCAATAGCATGATCGTTAGTATTGTTTTAAACCAATTCATGAATTGGTTCCTGCGTGTGGTTTAGCAACTCCAACCAGGAGATACATTCCTCTGAGGATTCCCAGCACAAAGGGAAGCCAGAGAGAGGGATCAGCAATAACCGACCAGCAGCTAGAACCTCGATGGATCACCCTCTGCTGGGAACTTTGCAAACCTCCTTGTCCTGCAGGGCACATAACAACAGATACTGTGAAGAAGCCCGTTTTAAGGACGAGGAAACTGAGGTTCAGAGAGAGGAAGATTTGCATGTCCTCATGGCCCAGACCGGAAGGCAAATGCTCAGAGACACCGGGTGGCTGGGGACGTGCACCTGTCCTGAGATCCACGAGAGAGTCTACACTCCCTCCACATCCAGGGAGAGGATCTGGGAGCACCGAACTTGAAGTTGCTGGTGGCGCTGTGACTGGGTCCACACACAGAGGGGGCACGTGGAGAAGCCACTGCCGCCCTGCCCATCAGAGAACGATCTTAGGGGTCTGGGGTGGGCACTGTGTGTACAAGGACACCTGAGTACCCAGGAAGCCTAACTATGGAGGTCAGATATTAAAAAGAAAACAAGACGTCAGCTGTTCCTTAGGGGTGAGGACAAGACAGGGAGGCGGCGGGAGGATGGCATGGGCTGAGGGCTTCCTTCCCGGGGTCCAGCTGCAGTGGGCACCCGCGTGAGCTGGTGAGAGGCCAGGCCTCTGTGCCCCACCCTGCTGTGCCCCACCCTGGAGGGCCCGGGAGGCACAGCCAAGGTCGGGGACTAGGGTCAAGGCCCCCTCCCCCTTGGGCGGGGTCTTTGACAACAGCCCAGAGCCGGGCACTGAGCCCAGCCTCCACGGGGCTTCCTCATGCAGCTGCCCCCTCACCCTGCTCAGTGGGCCCCGTGACCCCCACTTCACAGATGAAGGCATGAAGGCACAGAGCCTGGGGCACCTCCCACAGCAGGCACAGGGAAGGAACTCAGCCCCCGCAGGCCTCTCCCCACAAAGCCCCCTGAGCTGGGAGCTCCAGGCTCAAATCTCCAGGCCTGTGCCAGGACACAGAGGCCGGGAGAAGGAGAATTTCAGGGACGAGGTCTGCTCCATGACCCCAGGCCCCCAGGCCAGAAGGGGTCCCTGGGCAGGAGGAGGTGGCAGGACTTGGTGGTCCAGGTGGGGGCACCCTGCACAGTCCCCAGCTCACTGCATGCCGGGAGAGGGGCCATCCCTTCCCCAGAGCTTCTCGTGTACCCGCCAGGGATGTGTGCTACTTGAGTAACTCCAAGAGACGGTCAAAGACAAAGGGGGAAACCAGGAGGCGCCCTGAGGCCTCTCCTGCGCGGCCCCGCGGGGGGCTCACAAGCGCTAGGCCGGCAGTGGGTTCCTGCCATATTAATGGGGGTGGGCAGGTGCAGGGAGGCAGCCTCAGTGGGGAGCCCTCGGGGGGCCTGTCCTGTCATCCCTGCAGAGGCCGTCACTGTCCCGGCAGGGCCCCAGGAAGCCCACGCCCACAGGCAATGTCCACCGGGGGTTGGCGCAGCCTCGTGGCCCTGCCTCTTTTGCCCACTGCCCCCTCATTCCACGCCCAGACACAATTTCTAGAACTGGCCATGCCATCTCCAGCCTCTGCCTGCCAAGCACACCTTCCTTCTCTTCATCCACTCACCTACGAGGTCCCAGCTCAGACGTCACTTCCTCCAGGAAGTCCCCTCAGGCCCCCAGCAGCCCTCCTTGCCCATCCCAGCACATCGAGACCACACAGTATCCTTGCCTCCAGGCTGTGTACCCCATCCAGCTGTGAGCTCCCTGGCACCCCGGTGCCCCAGTGCCCAGCATGGTAAATGGGCTTGGCAAATGTTTGCCCAGTGAACTGCATGAATGAATGAACACACGAACTGCCAGACAGGGCAAGAGAGAGCAAGAGCTCAGGTGCCTGGGGTCTTCTTCCTGAGCCCTGGGGACCCTGGTCAGAACCTGAGAGCCCCGTGCAGATGGCTAGAGAACCACCAATATGCTCCTACCCCTCTGCAGGTTGAGGGCTAACCATGGGCCCAGAGAGGTAGAGACACTGGCCCAAGATCACACAGGAGGTTAGCAGCAGAAACAGGGCTCAGAACCTGGGCTCCTGCCTCCCAGGCTCCCGAGGAGCTGGGTGGTTCCTGTGAAAACACCCGGGCAAAGGACCTGCTGCCCAAACAAGGCCTGACCGCATTGCTCATCATCCGGCCTCACTGGGATCTGAGCTGCCCCAGCCACTCCAGCTGCTCCAGGTCCCGAATTCTCCCTGCAGATCGTCACAGCTCCCACAGTCTGATCCTGAGGGGCAGCCCACCTCCCACCCCCTGGCTAAGTCGGGATGCCCCTCTCCCCACCAAGGGTACCAGGGGGACCTGCAGCCTCATAATGAACTTCATGCCCAGGACGCCCAGGACAACTGAGCACCATGACTCGATCCGCCACCCCCAGGTCCTGGCCTCAGGTTCCAACAGGCCTGGACCTCCTCCATCTCCCCCACCAGTGCTCCCCTCTCTCCTGAAAATATGTTGCTGCTGGGAAACAGCTCTAGGGCGCTGGTGCCCTCACATGGGGCCCTGTCTTGTCCCACTGTGAGAGGCCTTGAGCTTCCCCCTCCCGGAAATGCCTCTCGGCTTCCTGTTGGTAAAATAAGTGGCTCAGATGAAATCTGGGTTCTCTACCCTCACAACACTGACATCTGGGGCTGGACAACTCTGGGGGGTCCTGCCCCCCAAACTGTAGGATGTTCAGTGGTAGTCTTGGCTTCTACCCGATAGATGCCAGTAGCACCTGCCTTCGAGTTATGACGACCCAAATTGTCTCCAGCCATTGCAAAGTGCCCCAGGGGCAGAACTGCTCCACTGAGAACCACTGGACTAGCTGGTCACTGGGGAGCCCCCCAAACTTTGGGGGCTGTCCACCAGAAGTGCACGCCTTCCCCATGGTCTGAGATCTGAGCGACAGCTACCGTGAAGGACCTACTAAGGGCCAGGCACAGGGCAACACACTTTCCAGACACCATCTCACTGTACTGGCCCAACAAGCCCAGGAGGCAAGGACTATTATGGCCATCTTACAGATGGGAAAACTGAGGCTGGGGGTGTTTAAGTGCCCTCCTGGCTCAGGGCTTCACACAACATCTCTTCTGCTTGGCCCACTCTTTCCCTCAGAGAAGCCACCATTGGCCGCCCTCGCCCGGGAACATAGACTCATGGCACTGGTCCCTGGGCAGGGCCTGGCAGTGCCTCGCATGGCTGGGCCTAGAGAATGACCTATGTAACAGTGTGAAGGTGGGCCAGTATGCGCACCTCATGGTCCTCCCAGGCAGGGACAGAGTCTTCCAGGTCACCCCTGAATCTGCAGGGTCCTGCGCTGCGCCTGGTACTCAGTAGGCGTTCAGTAAATGAACAGAGTTGCGTCACAGTGGTGCTGGATGGGGAGAGAGGGCTGGGCTCCCACACCATGCCCACCAGGCCCGAAGCTCTCAAATGGTCTGCTCTCCTCAGCACCTTCTGCTTGATTCCAGGCCCAGGGTGCAAGTAACAGAAGTCCTAGCAAGGTCGCTGGTTGCTGGCACACGGCAGGCAGGGGAACAGGCACAAAAATCGTTCTCTTGTCACAATTCTCATAGAAAACCAGCAACTTGGGGTGACAAGCACAGTCAGGATTTCAGGGTGGGATCCTGGGGCCCAGCCCTAGAACCTCCAGGCATGGCAGAGGACGGACAGCCCCGGGGGTCCACCATACAGGCCCCTCTGTGACCTGTCATCCAGGGGGCACCCACATCAGACAAGTGCTTCAAGGGTGCAGGGGGGGGACCCTAGTCTCATTATCAATAGCAATAGTAAGCTCTATGTATATTGCTTCCCTGGCTGCAGTGAACATGCAGGAATTCTGTAACATGAAAAAGGAGTTCATATTTTTTAAGTTTAAAAACTGAAAAGGAGGGCCTCAGGCTTCCAAGTCAGACCTGGCTAGATCCCAGCACCATCCTTACCACGTGCAACCCTGGGCAGGTGACTTTCCCTTTGCGAGCTTCGGTTTACTCATCTGTGAGATGGGAACTGATAGAGCACCTGAGTGAGCCTCAAGAAACACTGTGGACGACAAAGCACGCCCGGGACACCTGCTGTGTGCTGGGC